TAGCCTATTGCCTAAGCCTAAGCCCGACGCGAACGACGCCCTGATCTCAGGATAAGCCCGAGGACCAGCACGAACCATCGTTCGGTCAGACCTTTTATAACCTGGCCTCATGAATATGCATAGGCCGCAATGGTTTAAAATGATTGGTTGTCAAATGATGCACCTGGAGCGTGGTACAAACTGATAGGTTGGTTTTGGAATGCTCATGCATATTCATAACCTATGCAAATCATACCCAACAGGTAAGTGAGTGTTTAAAATCTAACAGTCACCTGTGGACGTGTCAGAATGTAGATCTTAAATGGATGACATTAGAGAGAATGTTTAGATACAAAATGGAGTTTTAGGCTCCATTTTGTAGACTTGCAGAATTTCCTCATCTTTAAGTTTACAGGTTCAAACAAAACAAATTAACCTTGACATTTAAAAGATTATCAGCCCCAAACACTACATAGAGGTTCCCATGGTCCAATTCATATTATCCAGATATTATACATTTGCATTTCTGCCTTACATTTCCCCTCCTTGATGAATGTCTGACGGGAAACGAAGATGTTCATCACATTATCTTAAGCAGCAGTAAATGCAAATACTTCTTCACGTACTCTTGGGCGCGGACAACAGATGTAACAAGTTAACAATATGGTGTATACGGTCAGGATGGTGACATACATAACGATCAGGCTTAATGGGTTGGTAAAAATAGATCTCAAACTAATGGAGGATATGTCTCCGAGCACATCTCCAAAAATCTTAGTCCACAAGGTTTCTTTTATGTGGATCTTTTTACCAACTTGTACAATCTGTGCAGCTGAGTGTTGGACAACCACATGTACTTTTTCACTGATATTTTTAATGTCTGCAATGATCTGTTGTAGATCGGGATGTTTCATCATAGCTTTAATTGCAGCTATCTTTGGCCCTAATGACATCGGTGTAATGGTATCAATAACAGCATACCGTACTGTTATGTCCTCGTAGTCAGCATTTATTAATTTAACATTAATGTCACACCCCTGTATTTCAAAAACTTTACACAAACATAAATTACTTAATTTGGGCATGGCTACTTTGTAAAATTTATTTACTATGAACGAGGGACATAAACTTCGCATGCAGATACAATGTTGGTTAATCTGCACGACTACAGACCGGTTGTTACCGAGAGGGGTTAAATGTAACTCATAATTACACTCACCTTCCGCTTCATTTAAGCAGAGATGACCTTGAGTCCATAGACTAGATGTGCATACATAGCCTAAATGATCTTGAGACATGCATGCTTGCATGTTAACTATTTCAAAATCGCCGTCTGAGCTTTGATGTACCCAAGCTCGATTTATAATCGGCATCATCACTGAACCCTTTACGTTCAGTCCAAGCGTGGCTATTGGGTACACTAGATCTTTTTGTGCACTTACGACTGTTAACAATACAATGTGTAGCACATCATATCTTGGATCATATTCGGAGTGTAACACGTTCCAAAGGTCTAGGTTCTCCCTTTCAAAAGGTGTTGACACTTTCTTTAGCAAGGTGGCAATTTCCACAGGAAGATAATGCTAATGCATCACGGATGATACTTCGTGATAAATCGAACAACATATTTTGCATCTGAATGCAAGCCAAAGCTAACGCTGTATCGTTTATTATCACTTGCATACCGGTTAACATTTTCAAGTGATCTTCTTCCTGTGAATTGGCCCATTTTGGCAGTAGATCAGTCAATTTTAACTGCACCTTGTCTAACCCTAGTAGGGATTCTTCTAAGGGGTGTACCAGATCTTCGGTACCTGCTGTCAGTCTGGCTAAACTTTTGGATAGGCGTGCATTATCAATGGCTGAAGCAACGCCCATGCCAGCACCAACTCCACCTAAAACCTTGGCGACAATATCCCTCTTGGTACGTGGTGGTGAGTTCGAGATAGTGATCGACTGCAACCACTTATACCAGCCTTGTACCAACGGCTCTACAAAAGGTTCACATCGGTTATTTATATCAGCCGTGTTTGATGAAAGCGGTACGTGTACCCATTTTACATGGTATTCAGGTTCAATTAATACCTGACGAGCCATATTGGTTTTAACTACATACGGACCAATTTCGTGTTTTTCGGGCTCTTCGGCTACTAAGATTTTAACCGGGAATTTTGCACCGAAAATTCCTAGCACATTCCAAGTGCCAGATTCAGTTATATTATCGACGAATATGCCCGTGCAGACATATCTAGCGGGTTGCGGATCTCCTTTACAACTTGGCGAGGCTTTAAAGGAACTCACCCGCTGTGGTGATTTATTTTCCACACATGTCATGGGCACAGATTGTACTACCTTTTCAGGGGACACGACCGTAGCAGGTGCCGTTTCTGTGGCAAAATGATCGTGATAGAATTTGATCACCCACATTATTCGTCCAGGTTTTATGATTGGGCGGTATAATACATCCAGGTACACCCAGGTAGATCCCTTCCACTCAGGGACTAGCACCTTACAATTTGTGAGGCACCGTCTCTCTCCTTCGTAAACTGGTTGTGCCATGGATTCATTGAGGCATAGGTGGGGATTATTAAATGTCCACCTGCACTCTTTACGAAGAGGGCTAGTATACACAGTCATGTTTAACCACCCAGGGATATTAAAAGAATTTTTCCATGTGTCATCCTTACTCATTACGAAATATAATAAAATATTTCCTTCTAGCTCATTTCTTATAGTAAGGTGACAATACCCCTGATTCTGTTCTACATGGATGGTAACCAACTGACTGCGGAATACTGGTAACTTAATCTCCCACCGCTGGCTATTTGAAAGCAGTGGTTTATACGTCTTTGCGGATATTATCTCCCTGTTATACACCAGATCTTTAGATTGGAAGTGTGTCCAGACAAATCGTTGTGGCACCATTGTGTCGTATGTGTTTAGCACCGGTCGTGGAATACTCCATTCCCCTAAAGGGCGGTCACCAGCACGACATCTCCATAGTTCATTTTGCATGAATGTTAACCCTTGGAGATATGCCCCTATGGTCGATCCATCCTTTTGTTTAAATATGTGTCCGCCTAGGTCTACCCATTCTAGACCATGGTCACCTTCTTCTAACTTTCGTATAGTGCCAGATCTTAACTTAGTTGTTACAGGACTAGAATTACTATCTATTACTACACTGGTAAGGATTAAACTTAACAAATAAAATAATGTCCTCATTGTGACGTGCCACTCCTAAATAAGACAAAATAATACATATATATTAATGATCTTGTTTTCTTGCAGATGTTGCACCCTCCTAACTATCTATCTTCTGGTCTAGCTCGTCTCCTAATTTCCTTTCCATTCTTTTAATTGGCTCACATGAAACCATTTAAGGATCTTCCTTTTCCTACTGACTATTTCCACCTGATATACGGTGGGTCCAGCTTTGCTGACGATATAACACGGACCCAACCATCGCGGGCTCAAAGGATGGCTCTTTTCACTGAAATGTCGGTACATGATCTTACTTCCGACTTCCCAGTCTTGAATCTTAAAATTTCCTGCGAGTCTTTTATCCATTTTCTGGATAAAAGTGTTTAGTGTTTGCGCTACTGTGTGCTGTATGTCGGACAAATTATTCAACAATTGCTGCAAATACTCAGCTACTTTGATTTTTGGTTGAAAGTCGTCAGGAGGCACCCCTCCTTCGATCCACCAGAGCTCGGGCGTCTTCATAGGTCGTCCGAAGAGTACTTCATGAGGAGAGTACCCAGCGGATCCCATAGTGGATCGAGTAGCCATGAGTATAAGTGGGAGATGAGTATCCCACTGTTTGCCGGATTTTTCGACAACTTTTCTTAATGCAGTTTTCAACGTACGATTTGTTCGTTCAACCAGCCCAGATGACTGTGGGTGGCCTGCAATATGGAACAGCTGTTTAATTCCTAAAGCAACACAGAGTTGTTTAGTGATCTCTGCAGTGAAATGAGATCCTTGCCCACTATCTGAACATTCTCTCTAATGTCATCCATTTAAGATCTACATTCTAACATGCTGTCAATGCAGGAAGACCTGTGGCTGGTGCCTAAGCAAATATATGGAAGTGGGTCTGATCTCTGTGGGGCAATGTGGAGGAAGAGCAAGTCCTGTCCCTGTCTAACCCAGCCAGGAGAAGCAGCTAGGAGCTCCAGCAGGAGCACACTCAGCTGCACATGGGAGATCAGAGCCCAACTCCATGGACCAGCTGCATGAAGTTCCAGGGCTTCTGCTCCATTCCAGAGTTTCTTGCAGCAAGGGAAGATACCCAGAAGTGGGTCTGACTTTTCCCCCCTGCTCTTCCTGAGAGTAATTGTGCAGGGGAAGAGGAAGTCCCAATCTTTTCCCAGACTGGAGGATACTAGCAGTTGAAGCCAGGTGATAGGAGGAGCTTGTCTGCTCTCCTCCACTAGCTAGATTTCATGGGGAGGGAGGAGTTAATTTTAGTAGGGCAAAACCTATCACTCCTCCTCAGTCAAGCAACAGCTAGTCATAGCCAGAAATGTATCTTCTGTTGCCAAATTTCCTTTTCCCATTTAACATGACTTTCTAGCGGAACCATTAGCATCACTGGGGGAAAATACTGTCCCAGAAATACGGGGGAGGCTCATGAGTCATCACTGGGGATAAGACTTAGCTTTCCATAATGTTGGTGGTTGCTCTCAGTTGCTTTCCTATTTCTGGGGGGTGGGGTATCTTTAAGGGTAGAGGGTCCACCATGTGTGGATTTGGTAGTGACTTTCTGATGTTTCCTTTCTAATGGCACTCCTGCGTAGGCAAGAGGTTTTTGTCAATGTGGCGGGGTTCATACACTAATGTCTAACAGGCAAGGTGAGGTACAGGATGGTGGAATTCACCTCCACACACCTCAGTTACCTTCAGCAGAACTGGGAAGGTATCTATTGGTTTAAGAGGGGGCTGCTGAAGACCCTAGCCCAGTACAGTGCCCCTGAGTGGCGCTGGTGGACTTTCTGAAAGGGTGCACTTGGCACTACCGGGAGCCAAGCAGGGCAGGGGTGGGAGTGCCGGGGTGCGTGAGGAAAATGTGTTTCCCTGCAGCGCTTCCTCCTGCGACAGAGCTGATTTTTGCAGCGGGAAGGTACCGTGTTCCCAGGACCGTGCGGCGCTGCCTTCCCCTGGATGCAGGTGCGGTTTTATCCGGGAAACAGCTCGCTGGCTTCTCCGCCTTGGACGCCTCCCCAATTACACCAGCAGCTCAGGCCGTCGGAGCAGTCCCGAAGCGGAGGAGACTAGGGATTTCCCCAGCGCTTTCCCGCTGCCTCCCCCTCTCCAGACGTGGCTCCCCCGCCGGCTTTGGGCCCTGAGCGACCGTTTGCCCAGAGAGCGACCGACTCCGCGAGGTTCTCGG